TCCCCCTGGCGGTTTTACAAGGCGACGCTGGATAGTTAGTCACATGACACACGTGAACCGCGTGATACCCCGGTGGGCGTGTCGCGGTATGCCGCAAAATACCTCACCCATTTTGAATGGCTGCATCTGTAAATTCTCCCTTTTTTTGTGACATTTCACATAAAAAATGCAAGTATTTGCAAGCATTTCCATAGTTGCTTAAAAGTCCTAAGGCCTCTGATTTAATCTATGCTCGTTCGGCATTTATTTCCATTTGTTACACTAACAAGTAAGATTATGAGAATCCCTAATGAAGGTTTCTGGTGAACTGAACTTGCTGATTAAAATGCCACTTTTAACAGCCGCACACATTTATCCTCCCAATTTGCATAATCTTATTTTGTGTGAATAAACAAGCAAACAGACTGCCACACCAGCCAGAAAAAACAAGTAGAAATGAAACAACTAAAAAATCAGGGGATTTTGGAATTAAGGAGAAACAATAAAAATATGCTAATGTCATTGACACATCTTTTTATTGCATTTTTGTCTTGAGTTCCTTCTCTGCATTTTTTTTGTCTCCACAAATTGTTTGATTTTTGATAGTTTCAGGAATGTTCTTGATAGGTGCTGTTGTAGACATTTGAGTGTTCCTTCAGTGGGAGTCACCCAGGCTGTATGAATGCCAGAATATCCTGACATTCTGTATTTAGCTTTTTTTTTAAACAGTTTACACAAGGTATCTACAGTGAAGATCTAGTGCTATCTGTGAAGAACATACTGGTGTGAACAATGGGGGCCCGTACACTGTTAGACTGTCAGCAAAACCCATCAATTTTCTAACTACTTTTTCCAATACAGTTGTGGCGTGCCAGAGCCTTTCCCAGCAAGCAGCGGGCAAAAGGCGGGATACACCCACTCACGGGCTACACACAGAATCACAGAATTTTAAAATGTTAAAATTCGAATACATACAGTACTCTTAATTTATCAACTAGTCTCACATAATATTCTTATCTTTAACTTCACTCTCCATCTATTACTAGGTAAATGACAGCTTTTTGGCACAGTTGTAGTTCTGATCTAATTTCAGCACACTTGTCGTGTTTGTCTATTAGCTCATATTTTATTGCTTAATATTCGGCATATTTTATCATTGACTTCAACAACATAGAAGGGCTGTTTGTTCCGTACTTCTTCAACAATGTAGATAAAGTATCTTGAGGTTTTAACTCCAACCCCCGAATTTAGTTGGGATTTACTTACAGTATAAAACATAAGAACATTGGAGAGGTTCTTGGCCCACGTAGCTCTCTTGGTTGCTAGAATGTGATCAATATGGGATATTGTCCATCTGTTACTCTAAGGAATCAGGGGTAAAAGTTAAATGACATACTGTAGCAAGACAGCTTGTTCCAGACACTCACTGCTCTCTATGTAACACAGTGTTTGTTCTTCATAGTCTTAATAGTCACTTCTTCTTAACTTTCACCTGTTTATCTGCTTAATATTTAATTGTCGATCTTGAAGAGATTCATTTGTTTAATATTCTCAGTACATTTTATGATCTGGAATAATTGCATCAGGTTCTCTTTTATTTGTAGTGGATTATGGATATGGAGATTTTGTTTTAAAATTTAAAGGTACGTCACAATACACTGTAAGCCTTGTAACAAATAAATGATGTACATGTGAATCATTTTAGTACAGCTTTTAGTAGGGTCATTTATCATGGTTTTCAGAAGAAAAAAGGTTGAACATACAGTAAGGCTAATGGTTTTTACTAAGGTTCACAGAAATGCACAATCCTTGGACAACTATTATTAGTGACAATCTTGGACAACTATGACTGTTTCTGCCTAGTGCAAATGAAGATTTTTCAGTTTTGTATCCATCCTTATATGATAAACTTTTGAGTCCTGATAAACAATATTGCTCTAATCTGTATAATATTAAAATGAGTTCTGAAGCTTATTTTATTTTTCCATATTTTTCCCAGAGTTAACAGACAAAGTGATTAAAAAAACATCTTTCAATAATTGAGCCTATTAGAACAGATTTTTGACACAAAGGCCATTTTTGGGTATATGTTTTTGCTTTTTAGGTGTAAGTTTGAATTTGTCCCTGAAGTGATTCCTTTTAGTTTAGTTTCATCCTTTACATTTGCAAATCTTCAATAGTTTCTAGCAATAATTTTACTAGAACTTTTTGGATTTAATTATACTTTTGAAAAAAACTGAATTGATTACAACAAACTTAATGCATAAAACCATATACAGATATTACTCAAATTCCAAAAACTAAACTCATTTTAAGTATGTAGGTTGCTACGGTAGGTAATGTATTTTTATTATATTAACCTCATACAGTATGTAGTCTTGCTCAAGAATAGGTAAAGTGATATTAATTTACAGTATATGGTGTAGTTGCAGGCTGAAAGCTCATTGACAGTCATTCTATGAACATTACTCATTAAGAATAGTGAAGCATATTACAGACTTAGCCTGAGAATTTATCTCATTTAGAAGGCTGAGTTACTTATCAAGTTTGCTAATATATGTACCTTAATCAAAGTGAAGGTGTAAGACTTTATATGATGAAGGTTGGGATTAGGGAAAGCCATTGAAGCATAGTTTGGCCATCTTCTACATACACCTTAGATGTTTATGAAAATACATGTAACCACACTATCACAGGTACTACTATGTGTGCAATGTCAGTGTGCAGATACTGTCTTATCCGCTGTAATTTGAACTTAACATCCCAAGGGGACCTAATATCAGGTTTACCAGGTTTATTAAAGCACACAGTAAACCTTAAATAACATGAACTATTATTTTACACTTATTAAGAACCCGTGTTTCAGAACAGGTTTAGTGTTAGAGGGATAAAGAAAGAACACAGCACACCATTACATTTTGATCTATTCTCTTAATTCCAAGAGTAAATGACCAAATTAATAACAGCAAGAAAGAAACAACAATTATTTCTCTCTTCTTTCTTTTATATTAAAATAAATATCTTTGCATAAAATAAATTTTAAAAATAAATTGCATAAAATAAAATAAGTATTAACATATAATACGAAAACCGATCATTGAATTGTTTCGAAATTGTTATTCTGTCTTTTTAGGCTACTACTAAGTTACGGCTCATATTCTATATGCTAATTATTTACATGTATTTATAATATAATACTATCGTATTAATTGTTATCTATTTAATCTTCTTATGTATTGGTAATTCCACAACAGAATAAAAACAGGTTTAAAATAGCCTACTGGGAACCTCAGAAATACTGTGTATAGATTTTTCAGAAACGCAGAAAATAAGTAACCACATTTAGAAAACATCTGGCGCTCTGTACAAGCGTTGCTTTCTTTTAATTATGCGTTGAATTAAAAAAATCTGTCCCGACTCAAAATGCATCATGTATTTGAGACACACATTCATACAAAAAACTTGCGTAAAATGGGAAAGTAAATTCAAAGTTAATTTATATCAATCCCCAGACCCACTAGTTTAATTTCTCTCTACGCAAATACATCTAGAGACAGGGAAGCGCACCTGAAAAGCATTGAACGAATTAATGTATTGTGATTAAAATAACACCACGTATTGGTATTTTAGTTTTTAGTTTTTGTTAAATTAACACTTAGCTTGTGTCAGAATGAAATGTACTTTTGATTTTTCTGTCAACCAGATTGGAATTTCAATACGGACCATTAAATGCACAAAAGGGTTTAAGAATGCCGTGTTTATTACCTTGTTTATTACTTAAATGCACCGAATATGACAATCGTGTGTAAGGTTTCCATGCCTGATCCTTGTCGTATCGAGCTTTTACAGTAATTTTGTTTTGCAGGTAACGATTTTTAGTGTAACACACATAATATTTAATTCGTGTTTATTTGCTTGTAGCCTACATGCGTGATGTGTACGTTTTATTGATAGTGTGTTTAGGTCTTTAGTTCTATTTAGTAACAGAATTATATCTGATAAGGAAAGTATATAATAGGAGCTATTTAATTATATGTGAAAGGAGAAGAGGTCAACAGTACAGTATCAGCATAAACAATGTCCGACAGATCCCAAGCAGGATTAATGAAACCCGCTAATGTGCGAAAATATAATAAAAACTCATATGCAGTCACGCATTCATTTTGGCCCATGAGCCGAAAATGGGTTTTAAAAAAACAGGAGTGGGAGCCCATAAAATAACCCGTTAACTAAATCGAATCTTTCGTTTTTTTAAATATTTAATTTGTTCTAAAAACATATTTTCTGCTATTAATAAAACATTATATAAACATGTATTCCTTTGTGATCACAGTCCAAAACCTCCCTAATCACTGACAGATTGCAACACTGCTGAGATGGCAGATTTTCCTAATTGAAATGTTTCGGAACTTAACCGTTAAAAACCGATTTTATACGCTTCATTTATTGATGTTTAAAACGCATTTTAACGGCTGATTTGAAAGCTTAAGCTGTCAGCTGTGTAACACAGGAGGGGCGTCGGGTTAAAACAATAAAAAGCATATTAACAAAACTCCAATCAGCAAATTAACCGCCCCAACAGTCAGACAGGGGGAACGGCCTATACAAAAATATTGCAGCGCAAAGCATCGTGTTTATTCCATTGCAGGACTGCGCTGGGATGCTGGTTCTTTAGTTAGTAGTGTTACATAATAACTCGGTTCAGCAGTAGAAATGATGGCGTACAGTGACTCTCGCGCAGTTGGATACAGGCTCAGATGTAAGACACTAAATCTTCAAAATACAAGATCGTATTGTTTCTGCTCTTCACAAAGACTGTCCTTTCGCAGTTACACCACAAATTTCACTTCTCATTTCAAGTGCTGTTTAGCTCCTTCTTATATAAAACTCCACACTGTTCAACGAACTATTATACCGCACCCTTTCGGTTTCTAAACTTATATGCCATATATGGTAGAGCTGAATAATTTCTTTCTCTGTAATGTAATTTCTAGAAAGGAACTGATTATTACCAAGAAAAACAACAAATTGTCAAACGTGTTTCATCATCATTATTGTTGTGTGTGTTGCCTGGTCTAGAAATCTGGTCCCCTGCAAACCAACACCACTGGCAGAGTGTGTAGTATTCAATTCATTGAGCCTTAGTTCTTTGTAATGACATCAGATTCAAAGCTCCCACCCCCTCTCTTTTCCAGTTAGCAGTAGCTTATTGGTCCATCAGCCTCGGCATTAGAGACAATAACATTGTCCCTAGACTTGCCCTCATTCTCGAGTTTACTATAAAAAGCAGCTGTAATGACCAAAGTGGTTAATAGGCTGACACCACTAAGTGGAGGTAACAAGGGGAACTTTAACACTTTCTGTGTATATCAGCATTGCCTTCGGTAAGTTTTTCACTTGCCACACAAATACAACTGAACTTATTTTAGGACCTAAAAATCAAATATTAACAAGAAATTAAAAAAATGCGCGCTATAACTTCGTTATTTACATTTAGTATCACAGATAGGATAGTAACAACATTTTTTTTTTTCACTGTAGTTGCGGTCTTTCTTCATTTAAATTCAGTTTGAAGTCGAAATACCATAAAGTTTTAGCTGTAAAGATTTGTTTTGCAAAATATATAAAGTGAGTCTTTAGAACACGTGTGTTCAGTACCGTATTTACATATTACAGTATTTCAAGTATTTAACAATTATCACCTCCTGCCCTCCAAAAAAGTAGTTTCTACGTCTGCTTGTTTGCTAAACTCCTTCTTTATTTCCTTAGGAACTAAGGTGAACTGAAATCTAAGAAAATGGAATCTGATGCCAGTTTAGTGTCTAGCAGGCCATCGTCTCCTGAGGTGGATGATATTTTTCTATCCACAGTCAGAAAAACTGCCGGCTTTTCGGGCACTGTATCCTCCACACAGAGCGACTCTCCACCGGAGTTAAATGCAGAAGTCCGGTCTGCTACAAGTCCCGTCGAGGACGGGTGCACCTTGAAAATGTTATCGAAGAAAGATCGAAAGCTTCTCTCAGAGTCTGAATTGCAGCAAATGAGGCTGAAGATCAACAGCCGGGAGAGAAAGAGAATGCACGACCTTAACATTGCCATGGACGGGCTCCGAGAAGTAATGCCTTACGCGCACGGTCCTTCTGTGCGAAAGCTTTCCAAGATTGCCACACTTCTCCTGGCGAGAAATTATATCCTAATGCTGAGTAACTCCCTGGAAGAAATGAAAAGGCTCGTCAGTGAAATATACGGGGGTCACCACAGCGGTTTTCATCCTTCAGCTTGCGGAACTATGGCACACACGGGACCTCTACCAGGGCACCCTGCTTCTCACGCATCTCATCCTGTTCATCATTCCATTATCCCGCCAGCCGTTTCAACCGCATCTCTCTCCGGACCCAGTATCTCGGCGGTGACCTCAGTTAGACCTCATCACGGACTCCTGAAATCTCCTTCAGCCGCCGCAGGACCCCTGGGTAGTAGTTTTCAGCACTGGGGAGCTGGAATGCCTTGTCCGTGTAGCATGTGCCAAGTGCCTCCTCCGCACGTCTCCAGCATGACCTCAGTGAGCATGCCAAGGCTAACTACTGACACTAAATGACTTGATATTCAGTAAGATGCGAACTTGTTGATAGCTGTTTGTACTTTCGCAGGCTACTCACTGGTGTTTCACGTCTACATCGAGACGTACAACATAGACGTTTGTTCTGGTCTTGAAACTTGTAGTTTATTTTCTTGTTAAGATTTGTATGTACAGTAGTACAGATTCCAGGGGCTTGATTATTAATTGAAATCTCCTAACATCACTTTTTTTTCTTTTTTTTTTCCAATATCGACGTCCATTCGTGTTCTAAATCAATGTTTTGGCGAAGAGAAAAAATATATAACCGATTATATTATATAAGTAGAATTCACTTTAATTTGACTACCTTATTTTATAAACTTCAATAGGAATTTTAATAGAAGAAAAATAGCTCTATGCTTACAGGCTTATACCGTAGAAGACAACACTAAGATGTTTTTTTTCATCTTTTGGACTACTTGTGCAATTATTGTTTTCTTTCAGAAAGTTTTTCATGCATGTTCAAATATCGACTACAGTACGTCGAATTTGAATAAGTACTTGAAAAAACACACAATTGTAAATTAATATTTTGGTAAACGCAAATAGTTCACTTTATTCCTTGTAACACACCACTGTTTCCCTTACAGTTCTTTAAGAAAATCTAATAATATGTAAATATAGTATAGAAACAGAACTCAAACGAAAATACAATGGAATCTAATTTGTATTAAATAACTTTTATGTTACTTTTGCTGCAATGGAATGTATTTCCTTTGTGTCTCTGCTAATTAGTTTGCTTTGTTAACGTTTGTATCAAGTATACCATCTTGTTTTTCTTTTTTTATTTTGTCATTATTAAGATAAAACGCATTCAAGTACACTGCTTGACTGATGTCAACACAGTATTTGACCCGTTTAGTGTTTGTAAAGCATGCCATTTTCACTGCCAGTCAAAAAGAATTACCGCCTCTTTATTTTTTATAAAAAGTGCTAAATAATATTTATTATTTCACTGGGACTTTAAATGAGTGATGAAGTGTTGCGATTTTAAATAAAAAAAATAAAGTTTTTTGTATGCATTGGTTTTTATTTGTCCGGTTGAAGTTTGTTTTTTTTATATCGTTAACGAATGGCGTAATCTTAATGAACACGTTCCTTACATCTGACAGAAAGCTAGACAGAGTTTTCTCTTTAATTTCTTAGAAAATAAGTCTACTATCTTACCTTTCAAAATGACGTTTCTGCTAAATATTGATTTTGCTTTTAGGTTAAATATTCAGTACAACTTAAAAGAGCACGCTATAACCTTATATTTACACAGGACTAATCGCTATCTGATATGATCAGACCTGACAAGAACGTAATTCTTTTTAATTTTCTTTCCATTAGTCATTATTTGTTCTAAAAAAAAAACATTAAGAGACTGATTTTCCCATTTGAGCTAACCTGAATGATCCCGACGTTACTGAAAACAGTAAAAAGTTTCATGTTAGCACATTGTCTATGGTGCATCTTGGCTATAAGTATTTCCCTTCTAACAATATCTTCTTCTTCTTCTTCTTCTTCTTCTTCTTCTTCTTCTTATTTAAGAGAATAAAAACGAAGAGATCGAGTTATGATAATATAATTTTCTAATTCACAGATTTCAATTGGATTCTTCTAATAAATGGAAATGAAAATACAACAGTTTAGTAAACATCAAAATATGTTGTTAAATGTTGTTAAGAAAAAAAACACTTGCATTCTCAAACTTAAACTACACTCGATCTGCTGTAAAGGAGACGGATTCCTAACACAGGAATTAACCCACAGAATATGAATTAAAACAATTGTTATCAGGTACTGTATATGGTTCAGTATATTTGTGCTTCTCTGTAACAACAACCATCGTCTTCTTCTCGGTAGAATTATAAGTTATACAGTTTGTGGACAACCGTGATGCGCTTTTATCGTTCTCCTTTTTTAATAATAATAATAATAATAATAATAATAATAATAATAATAATAATAATCAACGTACAAAAGATGAGAACACCATCCCTCTGATAAACACAGATAATTACAACTCCGAAAATTTACGTTTTTTGTGCTAATCAATGAAAACAGAATGTGTTTAAAACGACGATTCTAAAATTTGCTTCGGATTAAGCAGACATATCGAAACAGATATACAATAGGACAAAAATACTCAACCATGCGAAAATACATGTGGAATGACTACCATCTTATTACTTATACTTATTACTAAGATTTTCTTTCACGATTACAAGTGAAAATTATTTCAAAACATGAAGACTAAGAAATAATAATAAACAACTCTTCCTTTTATTCAGCATTATTTAAATTACATCACTTGTCAGTCTTTTTTCAAAGTTTCTAAACATTATTAATAAAAACATACTACCCACAGCACAGCACAGCAACAATCCAGATGGGGTACAGAATTCCGTTCAGCATAACAGTTACTTTACGTACCGTATCTGTTGTAGTTATAGTATCATTGCCAACCGCATTTTTGGTATAACACCCATATTTAAAATAAAAAATGTCTAATTGGTTTTCAGTTATACAGGCTTTTGAAATGATGATGCAGAAACATTTTATCAACTGGCAACATGAAGGATATCCCTGCTCCACACAATTCATGTTTCTAATTTTTCCAAAACTACTACTTACAGTAAATCCCCTTTTTTATTTTTTAGTGTAGCTAAGAAACGAAACTATGGAAAACAGAGATGCAACTGTTACTGAACTGAAAAATAGACAAACTGTGCTAAAAGCCTCACAGATTAAATTTATCATTATCAATACATGTGATAATATTTAATATTTTTACATGTGATATAAAAGTCTATTGAGAAATATGAATGATGCATTATTCCATTATTACTGTAGTGTAATACAATACACTCCTGCCATAGTTTCAGTTAAGCTTTTTTGTGTAATTCTCAAAATTATTCTGCTACCAACTATTGCCTTTTAAAAAGTTATCTCCCAGACTGCTTTTTAATTTAATTAATAAAAAAACTACAATAGGCTGCAAGACAGATTGAGATACAAAACTGAAAAAAAGAACTTTAGCAGTATATGATTTGTATAAATTAAAATTCAGGGTAGCAATTCTCACTCTCAAAAAATAGAACAGTGGTAAAGCATTCTGTTCGTACTTCTTCTTATGTTATTTGCAATTCCACAGTAGCTCAAATAAGGAGTATGCTCCACGTCTATGTTACAAAGTTTTAGTAGTCCTTTCTGTCCAGCTGTGGTCCAGACTAAAACACTTACAGTGGTTATTTTTTTAAACAATTACCCAGATAAAACTTATTTTTTGGAGGGGTGTTTGAGCCAGCACAGGGACACGTGGGGCAGTGGAGTCATTAGGAAAGGTTCTTTAGCTGCTATTAGAGTCTGTAATTAGCACCTTGACAGCTGGAGCAATTCAAACCCAGAGACAGAGAGAGAGATAGACAGGGGCCCCAGGCTATATTATTCCTGGCTGCTGTCTCAATAGAGACTGCCCACTCTGTGTCCCTGGGGACTAAGATTTACTCACATTAACAGGTGTGAGAGGGAGGGGCAGGTGGGTGGAGAGAGCATGTAGTAATCCTGTTGTACTAATAGGATGATAAGCAGGTAACTGGAGCCATTACTTCCTTTTATTGTGGTTTGGCTGTACACAATGATCAAATAAGGGATGAAGGCAACAACTTGGATTGGTTTTCCAAATTCCTCCCAACTAACTTTCATGCTCTGAAATGAATGAATGACCGATGAAACATAGTCCTGTTGAAACTCAGTGATGTTTCAGAGATATTGTACTTGAATCAAGTGCATGTTTTAAATTACTGCATTTGAACTTAATGAACAGAGAATTGGAATGAAAAATGAGTTTCCAGAGGAATTTTTTTAACACTACTACATTAGAAGAAATAGTATGTACAGTATGAAACATTTGTATTGTGAATTTAATGGTTCTTGTAATATGTTAAAAATTGTTGTATTTTAATTAAAGTGCAAATTTAGAGTTTTATTTTCATGAGAAATATGCATAACAATTAAATTACTAATTTGATCTTGATTTAAAACACAGACAAATTCTGATAGGAGGCCAGTTTGAACCAGAGATAAATGCATTCAGTTTTACTCTAAAGATGTCTTGAACAATTAAGGGTAGAAAAGAATGATGATGATTTGTATATGCTTATCTTGCATATGAGTGGCAATCACAAAATGGATTATGCTTTACTTGAATGAGGCTCCCTAACGTTGTCAGATCTCCTTCATAATCAGGCGCAGAACAACATGTACAGAATTCAAAATCTACATTTCACATAATTGTGCCATATCTGAACTATTGAACTGAATTTCGTAATTGTGTTTCCAATATTTTTACCAGAATTCTCTTAAATTGGAGTTCTGCTCCATGAAACACTGCATGCAATTTCATTGGAACACTAATAAAATATGATACATGTTTTGATAACTTGCTTTGTAATGTTTATGGAGGAGTTATAACTGTGTTCTTTAGCCCATTCAAGTAAAACATTACCACCAAATATAATGTAAGAATAGTCTAACTGTAAGCATTTAATTTTTTCATTGCTCTCTGCAAGTAATTTGAAGTAAATTAGGCTCTTGTACAAAAACATCAGAAAAGAACATTAAGTGGGACAACAATGAGTTCTAATTAATAATTTACTAAAGAAACATGAATACAATTGTTGCCTTGCAGTCCTGGGTCCCTGGATTCAATTCAAAATCTAGGGTGCTATCTGTTTCCTCCGGGCACTCAGGTTTCCTCCCATAGTCCAAAAACATACAACGTGTTTGTGTATGCTCTGTGATGGAGAGGTGTCCCATCCAAGGGGTACCCAGCCCTGTGCTTGTTGCTTGCCAGGACAGGCTTTGGCTCCCCTGCAATTCAGAAATAGATAAAGCGGTTAGAAAATAGATTAATGGAACAGATATACCTTTCAGCAATAATGCAAGGGAGGATGTAGTGACTGTTTATAATTTGGGTGAGAGGAAACGATGCTTGCTATTTATCAATCTTTAATTAACTTTGATTGGAATTAAAAAAAAATGATCACAGCATCACAGTGTAAATTCTACATGTGCAATCAATCTGAAGATGTTATAATAACTAATCTACCACATTGTCCACTCTAATTTATTTGACTTATTTCCAGGTGTTCCTCGTTATGAATATCATTTGTTCTTCTCAACATACCCATAAAGCTTTCCCATATACAGTACAGTATATGGGAAAACTGTTAGCTTAAAACAAGCTGGTTAAACTTTCAGTAGATCACCATATAGCTGTGTTTTTGCATAAGGCATTAAAACAGTTATTGAAAAAGTAGAATAATGTAAAAACAATAAGACTACAAAGCTGTTTATATACTTATAAGGAATGGTAGATCCCATATTTTCCAATAGTATTTACCAACAGATGGTATATTGCTTCCTCTAAAGCAGGGGTCCGAGCTCTAAACTAGCACTCTTTATGTCTACCAGAACTCCACAGAGACATAAGGCTATCATGGCTTCATCCCTTCCTCTTTTGTTTTCTCATCCAGGTAAGTGTTTGTGCTATCTGTCTCTTTTTCGTGATAATGTATGTATCCAACTGGAAGATTACTTCCTTCCCTTTAATGGATTGATCCACCCTCCCGTCTTTCTTTGAAAATAAATCTACAGCAGGTCTTTTCGAGTGCAAATTTTTTAATATATTGATGAGGGTTTGGTCTCATTCCACATCCACGTTGTATGTTACAGTACACAGAGTTACAAATCAGGCAACAAATATAATTTTGGAAATAATTGTGTAAACAAAGAAAAAAGTGGGTGTATATTGCAAACAATACCAGTTAATAGCTTAATAATCGTATTTTTGCAACTTCTGATACAATTAAGTACTTTGCTGTGGAAATAAAAGTCATGCGATTAAATAAGAGAACAGAATAGAGAAAAGATCATACGATGAGGAACATATCAGGACTTGAATGAGATCATGCAGGAGAAGAACAGCTGAGTTTGAGCTTACCATAATTAATGAAAAAAGGAAAATTGGGT